ACGCCCCCCCCCCCCCCCCCCCTATTTAAGAGATCAACCCACAGTTACCTGCATCCACTTGTTTGAATCTCCGGCGTTCTCATACTAGTCATGAATGAATAGTAATTTAACCATGATTCTTGAACTTCCTAGTTGGAGTAGTTTGATTTCGAAAATACTGATGGTATCCAAGCTTGATATTCAAGGTAGATGGTGACTCCACAGATGTATTTCATTACTGGGGATAGCCGGCTAAGTTGTGCAATGCTTTAACACCTTTTTCTCCTCATTCTCAATCATCAATGCTTCCATCTAGATAGCACTCCTCCTTATTTCTTACTCTGCTATTTCTTCGGTGGAGAACTTCCATTTCAGGTATCATCATTCTTTTTTCATTTTAGGTATCATTTTATCTAGAACTAAATTAGTCTACCGCTTTAGAGTTGGAATCAATCAGCTTAATCTCTAAAGCAACCTGTTTCAACACCCAACTCTTACCATCATATCCATTCAGTTTATAAATAGGGATTGTCTGATAAAACTGAAAAATGAAAACTAAATTTTCAAGACAAACTATATCACTAACAATTTGACATTGAATATCAAGTATCGGATCCACTAACCTATATTATCTGAAATGTCATTTAATTATATCACAAGTCCTCTGTAAGATAACATGAAATTAAACTCCAGAAGACACTTGCAAATCACCTATTGTGCTAATAATTGAACACAATTTAGGCACACCTAGTTAATTAATATCATTAACTATAAGCTCTTAAATTGACAAACTTAATACAAATCTATATAATATAATCATGAAGCAATGGCAGATAATTAACAAATTTACACAAATATGTTTGAAGCAAGAGATTTAGTATTGTATTGGCACTTGATAGTTCATAATTGCTGACATTTACTCACTAAGCATTTCCAAAATCAAGTCCTAAATAAGAGTGTTCATCCATTCAACAATCACAGTTAACCTTTCCTCTGAACTCCTTTTATTGATAAATCAATTAGTTTTATAAATGTACACCATGAAGGTTTATGAGTATACAAACACATATGTTACAAGTATCTAGAGCATCCAAAAACCAATCCAGCAATTTATACAACAATCAATATCCTCAATGCATCAAAAACTAAATAAAATAAGAGGGAGTTCCTTGACATTTAACAAATAGTTCTCAAATCTGTCAAAAGCTTTTTATTTTTCCCTATTGATGATTTGTTAGGATGGTTTGTATTATATTATTAATTTATTAGGATGGATTGCAATATCAACACCAGCCAAAAAATGCATACTAAAACTGTCTTTAATATTTTTCCTCATAGCCATTTTACTTGTTCAATCTCCAGCCATTTATGAACTCGACTATTGTTCTTGGAAGTACTGATTCCACATTGAAAATTGAAAATATTGGGGCTCATTATTCAAAGTAAAACTACTATGAAGTATTAAGTGATCCACATCCTCCCCATGGTTCTTACACATGCAACACCCACTGACAATAATATAACCCCTCCTCCTTAAGTATCAGCTAGTAAAATGGCTTCCCATACAGTAGATCATGCCAATAAAAAAGAACTTCTCTTTAAAGTCCTTTGATTTACATAATGACAACCATATGAACCTTGTGTCACCTCCTTCAGCCAATACTCAGTTTGTAGTATGACTTAATAGAGATCCTTTAGGAAAATTAACTCTAAAAACTCCTCTCTTTGAAGTCATGCTACCCTGTCCTCTAAATTATTAAAAAAAAACACATTCTGTACTCATTTGTTTCTTTCTTCAGACACAACCAACATTTCAAACAAAATGGATCAATACACTTAAGCGTACTTTTACTCAAGACTACCAAAGAAAAGTATAGCTTCCATTTCATGATTTCAAGCATGCCTTGATTCATCTTGACAAAATCGTGTAAAAACTCTAAACCATCTACACACATACACATGAACCAATAAGCAAAAATGTCAAATGACAACAATCACCAACTGAAATATCAAAATCGACTACATGTAGGTAACCTTTTCACTATCAATCTTAGCATAGATTACTATTTCTTGTTAGCTCCAATTAATATCACCATACATTATAAACAAACAATTGGAAAAATCTTCACAAAATAATCAGTTCAGCAGTACACAGAGGCAAGAAATTACAAAGCAAATGTTCAATAAAGGTATCCATTTCTTGCAAACTTTACTGAAACACACAGATAACCAATAGTAAATATTTTTTTTTAAAAAACAATTGAGTTGAAATTTGAATGATATGAGTACCTTACCTTAAGAGAGAAGTTGAGAGCCACAGAAGGGTAATATCTGAGCACGCTGCTACCATTGCCCCTCCAAAGGGAAAGAACCCCTTCTTCCTTAACAGTGCTCCCTATGCAATCAAGCATGCCTTTGAACCTCCTATGAGGGCCACTCAAGATGGCTATATTGCTTTCTTGGGTCTGCAACAATAGCTTTGCTCGCTCAATTGGTGCCACAATCGTGTGCACAGCACCACCCATAACTGCCCCCGCCATTAGATCTCGATTAAAAGTTGCCCACGGCTCAGATTTTCTTGGAATTAGCCCTGCACCCTTCTGTTCCCCTTCACCATCCTCCTCCGCCATTTTCTCCTTCTAGTTTTTGTTAGATTAAAAGCAAATAAAAATGCAATCTTTGCAAGGTTTTCCTTTTTCACCAATGTTGAATAACGATAGGATGTTGTGTTTCTTTGGAATGTTATTCGTCGTTTCGCTTTTTGTCTCTCAAGACTCTTTTGTTAGAGTCGTGTATAACAGAATTCCAAAGAGCGGTTCATTTGCTTTGATGGGGTTGTTGACAATTCACATATATATTCGGGTATTGAATTTAGCTTCAACTTGGTCTTCACTTCCCCTTCCAATATACAGTTGATTTTTGTTACTTGCTTCTTTTTTTTTTCAAATGTTTACTATTAGACAAATTCTTCTTGTTGTTTTGACTTCTTTTTTTTTTTTTTCTGTCTGAAGACCATTTTATCAACGGAGAAGGGTCTAAAATATCCTTATAGTATCAGAATTGATACAAAAATACCCCTCGTTTATCTTTTGGCCTCAAAATACACTTGGGGTTAACCTTTAGGGACCTATTTTGCCCTTTTGACTAACAGACTACTTAGTAAATATATTTAATTATTTCATTTATTACGTGGCATGTTGTAATTGGTTGGAAATTTAATTAATTAAAGCCTAATTTGTTTGACCCAAACCACCCTATCAACTCGGATCCACCCGACCCATCTTCAAAATACCCAACCCATCCAAATAAAACACCATTACCCATTTCTTTAAACAAAACCCTAAACATTTCCCCCAACTTCATCAGTTAGTTCTTGGAGCTCTTTTGGAAATCATCTTATTCATTCAGATTTTGTTAAATTTTTGTGTTGTTTTCAATGTTTGACATCTTCTTCTGTTTCTTCTCCTCAACAAGTTGAGTCTCGTACATGTAAGTGTGGATTGATAGCAAAATATTTTACTGCTAATGACCCGTGAGAATGGTGGACGTCGATTCTTCAAATATTGTCGTTCTGGCTCATTATCTTGTGGTTATTGGATTGGATCGATAGTAAACTTCCAAGTCATGTGTCATTGATGACTCACAATCAGAAGATTGAATTAGATTTAATTCGGAAGGAAAGAAACTGATTGAAGAAGATCCTAAAGGAAATGGGTGGCATTGAAATTCATAAACCAAACATTGGTTCTAACTTGAATGATATGACTTTTTTTGAAAATTCAAATTTGGAGGATAAAGTTTCAAACTTGGAGTTGGAACATCATATTGAATGTTCTAATTTGAAGAACTTGGATGATAATAAACTGAAGTGGGAATTGAAAGGGCTTCAATTGACAAGCTTGCTTCTGATCTCTTGGGGTATTATTGTTGGTTTTGTAGCTGCCAAGTTGATGTAGTGTATTGTAGTTATGTTTGAACTTATTTTCTTGGATCGTTTGTAATGTGTAGTCGTGAGTAGTTTGGTGTTGCTTTGTTCGAGTAGTGTGTAGTCGTTAGTAGTTTGGTGTAGCTCTGTTCTAGTAGTGTGGTGTAGTCGTTAGTATTTTGATGTAATGTTATCTGTAGGTTACAACTGATGTAATGTCATCGTGTTTTGCTTGTTAAAAGTTGTTAGCAATTTTGTTGATCTCTTTATTGTAATGGAAAAGTTGTTAGCAATCTTGTTAATGTTAGTAATCTGCATTTTTACCATTTACAAAATCTGCATTTTTACCATTTAGCAATCTGCATTTTTACAGCAATTTGTAATTTGCAAATTTTTACAACAATTTGTAATTTGCAAATTTTTACAGCAATCTGCAAATTTTTACAACATCTAAATTATGGATTGCTTTTCAATTTTACACAAATGCAAGTTAACAGTATAATATGCTCTCAGCCATTTCGTCCTCTGTACAACTTAGTAGACAGCCAAAATTAAAGAAACACTCCCAACACTAGAAATTATCAACTCACTCTAGTTCAAAAGAAATATCACTGGGGATTCACAACTCACAAGATCTGTTAAGCCTACCATCAAGACATCTTCCCAGATAAAGCAACATACATAATGCAACTGGAAAACAAAAAACAACTACTACATAGATAAGTAGTAATAACATTGTCATATATTTTGAACCCACAAAAACTTACAGACACTTGTTCAAGATGGAGTACATAAAAAAAGTCAAAATATTAAGTTTCATCATGCCATGTTAAACACTGGAAAACAAAACACAACTTCATAATGCAACTACTTCTTCCCACCCCTCTTTGCCTTCAATTTGCCAATTCTTTTCTCCTTTTTAACTATCAATTAATCTGAAGTCGTAGCTTCTTTTCCTTTCTTTGCCTTCAATTTGCCAATTCTTGTCTCCTTTTCAACTGTCAACTGATTTGAAGTCATAGCTTTTTCCCTTTCCATGCCAATTTTCTTGGTGAGTATGGCAGATTAGTTGGAATGCTCACACCATTGTCATCTCCTTTGAAGCCAATCCTCTTGGTACCAGTTGGTCGAATCTGTATCTTTTTAGCTTGAAGCCTAGTCCTAGCTTCAGAAATTGCCTTCGGCCTTAGAATTGTCTGCTCGTCTTCACTTTCATGCTCACCTCCATCCTCATCAGCAACTGCACTTGAAGGTGCAACATGTTGCTCATCCTCAGATTCATCAGCAACTTATTTTTCTCTTTGACTTTGAAGGTCCAGTAGGTTTCTTTTCAATTTTCTTTGAATTTAAGGGATTAACAGGTTGGCTACTCTGTTGACTTGAAGAAGCAATAAAGCTAGGAGTAGGCATGAAGACACTACCAGATTTTTCTTGACTGGCTTGGGGTGCTGACACTGGCACATCTTGGGCTGGTTGTTTTGATCTTTGAAGCTATAAAAATGACAAAATTAGTTAGATATTGAATTAACTAGTGTAAATATTGACCAAGTAAAGAAAATTACATACCACAGGACATCTTCTTTGGTTGTGACCTGTTGCACTACATTGTCCATATGTCATTTTTAGTCCTTTTCTTGAAGATGACCACACCCCTTCCCTTTTCATTGCCTCATCTTTTTCTCTCTTTCTCTTAAGTTTTGGCCTGCCTACCAATTTATGTATTTCTGGTGGCTCCATAGCATGAAAAGGATCAACTTTTCAGAACTTCTCACCTCTAACAGGTTGTATTTTATGCATGTATACCAACATGTAAGCTTACTCTGGAATACCACCAACTCAACTGATCTAGTGGTTCTTGTTTGTCATGAAGCTATGCTTTAATGGCATGAGGACATGGTATACCAGTCAAGTCTCATGTCCTACATGTACATTTCTTCCTATTAAGATTCACCACATACCTATCTTCACCCTCAACTACCTCATATCCTTGGTCTCCATTAGATTGAACTTGACAACATTGTGCAATGATATTGAAATCATTATACAACTCCATGGCATATGGACTAAAATCTCCTTTCCAATTTCTACCCTCTTCTTCAAGTTTTTGTCAACCTATTCATAATCTATATAACAATACAACAGTAAGATCAACATAACCTATCAATATAACAGTCACATCAAGCTATATTCTGCTATTTCTATTAAAACACTAGATCTATCAATGAAAATAAATTTACAGAGAATTGAACACTGCTCTTTAAGGCCTTAATCTCAAATGTAAAATTTAGTTCCTAATAAATTCATTTTGTAAATACCTAAGAGATTCAAATAAAGAGAAACAAGGCCATAGTTCACAACAAAAAGCATCAGAATTTGAAAAGAATAAGAAAAATTGCAACTTTGTGAGCTGAAAACTCAAAATCACCAAACTGTAAACAACCCAAAGTCTAATTTTCAGTATTATCCCACATTAATCTAACCTACATAGAACCTAACAGTTAGATTAAGGTAATATAAAAGATGATAATATAAACAGTAACAACTCACCTTGATTCTAATATTTTCTAACATCTTGATTATAGGTTTTGCCCTTGCTTCTAGAATCCATTTGTTGAATGACTCGGTAAAATTATTCTCACATGAGTGATTTTTGCAGACTGTGTCAAAATAAGCCCTGCACCAGTTTTGTGCAGGGTACCATACCAAATCCTTTGCAGCTTGTTTAGACACAGCACCCATGACTTTCAATTGATCATGAAATTCTTCTTCATAGGTGTACCATGCAGACCACCACAGTAACTTTCTCATCTGTACACCTTTCCAAGCCTTGCTCCAATTAGCTTCCTATGTGCCTTGCACACCATCTATGATGTGCTTTAGGAAACACATGACTAACAGCATCCAGTAGCCCCTATAACAATAAAAATCATAACAAGTTAAAGTATTATTTGTATAAGAATTTAACTGAAAATCAGAAACTTATTAAAATCAGAAACAACTACCTTATGCATATCAGACATGAATGTTACTCCTTCACCATCTACCAGGTCTAGAGAATTTCTCAGCAACTCAATAAACCATTTCCATGTTCTAGATGTCTCTCTGTCCACCACTGCCCAAGCAAGTGGATAGAAGTGTTTCACTGAATCTTGTCCCATTGCAACCAACAAGATTCCCTTGTATTTTCCTTTTAAAAAGGTCCCATCTAGCCCTATAAAAGGCCTCAAACCTCCTT